GCTCTGTTCGTTTTTTCCATCTGTTTTCTGTCTGTTCTGCAAATCAGGTAATTTCTATTAGTTACCTTCAAGCTCACTGATTTTTTTCGTCTATTGGCTCCATTCTGCTTTGGGACCCATCCAGTGAGTTTTTATTTTGGTAATTGTATTTTTCAGTTCGAGAATTTCCATTTGGTTCTTCTTTAAATCTTCTGTCACTTTGCTGAGTCATTCTATTTTTTCTTTTGTTTCAAGCATATTCATAATTACTCGTTGAAGTTTTTTTTACAATGGCTGCTTAAAAATCCTTGCCAGATATTCCAACATGTTGATGTCTATTGATTTTCTTTTCTCATTCCAGTCAATATTTTCCTGGTTCTTGGTATGACGTGATTTTTTTTTTTTATTTGATCCAGCATATTTTGGATAATATAAGACTTTGGCACTTATTTAAATCTCCTGTTTTTAGGAACTCTTCTCTGACACAGTGCCAGCAGGGGAAGAGAAGTGCTACCTCGTTACTGCCAGGTATGGGTGGAAGTCCAGCTTCTCCACTCGGCCTCTGTTGACAATACAGGAACATGGCAGAATGCATCAATAGTAGTAGGCCCCGTAGATGTTCAGGCACTGTACTAAGCCCTCAATGACAGCACCTTGGCCGGGAGGGTGAGGTGTGCCTTGTAGCCTAGCAAGAGTGGAAGTCTAGGCTTTTTTAATAGGTCTTTGCTAATGTTATGGATTGAATTGTGTCCCCACAAAATGTGTATTGTAAATCCTAAACCCCTATACCTATGGTTATAATCCCATTTAGGAATGTATTTTCTTTGTTAGGTTAATGAGGCGATATTAGTGTAGAGTATGTCTTAAGTCAATCTCTTTTGAAATATAAAAAGAGCAGATTGTGCAATCCATAAAGCAAGGAAGCACAAATGGGGGAAGAGGAATAGAAGCTGAAAACACACAATGACCTTCCCCCAGAGCTGACAGAGGGACACTTCCCCTAGAATTTCCCTAGAATTCAGACTTCTAGCCTCCTAACTATAAGAAAATAAATTTCTGTTTGTTAAAGTCACCCGCTCATGGTATTTCTGTTATAGCTGCACTAGATAACTAAGACAGCTAACGTGGGTGAGGGTGGGGGTCACAGTTCTTTTCCATGAAGTCTGGATGGAGTAGGGCAGTTGTTGTCTGAAGTTCTCTGTCTTGCTAGACTGCGCGTTTCCTTGTCCTTTGACTGGAGAGAACCAGCTTTCCTTAAGCTTTTTTAACTTGCACCCATTGACGTTTCCGGGTTGCTGGCTGCGCCGACACCTAGTCTGGGGTATATATGAGGCAAAAAGAAAACCCAGGGAACTCAGCACCATATTGTTCCTTGGGTCCCAAGGTGGTCTGCCTTTCTCTCTCCACCTTTCAGAGCCTTATTATCTATAATATCCAGGGTTTATATCTGTACTTAGTGGAAGGAATATGAAGTAGTCTATCTTGTCCTAAACTGGAGATCTTGTCTTCATTTTTTTTAAACCATCACCAATGTTTATTTACCTTCATTTTTGAAAGATGTTTTTGTTCTCTATAAAATTCTAGTTTGACATTTTTTTCCTTCATTAAAGATGTTACTCCACTGTATTCTTGCTTATATTTTTTCCAGTGAAAAATCTGACATCCTTATTGTTGTTCTTCTGTATGTAACACGTTTTTTCTGGTTTAAGATTTTTTTTTTTTTTTGAGAAATTTGATTATATGTTCCTTGGTATAGTTTTCTTTTGCATAGGGTTTGCTGAGTTTCTTGGAACTGTAGGTTTATAGTTTATATTATTAAGTTTTGAAAATTGTAGGCCATTATTTCTTCAAATATTTTTTCTGTTCCTCCCTGCCCCCTTCTTCAGAAGCCCCAATTACCTGTGTATTAGACTGGTTGTCCTCATACTACTGCAGTGCGATGGATCGTTTTTGTGTGGCCTTTGTCGCTATGGTCTTGTGACTCCCACCCAGATGATTTGGCATGACTGTGAAGATAGGGGAAACCCTGGTGGCCCAGTGGTTAAGAGCTACGTCTACTAACCAGAAGGTTGGCTGTTCAAATCCACCAGGCGTTCCTTGGAAACCCTATGGGGCAGTTCTACTCTGTCCTATAGGGTAGCTATGAGTTGAAATTGACTTGACGGCAGTGGGTTTGGGTTGTTTTTTTTTTTTGGTGCAGATAGGGTAATTGTGGCCTACCAAAGGAATTGGTCAGTTTTGCTATTCCACTGGGCTTGAGGTGAGCCATCCCTGAGGCAGGAGAGAGAGAGG